TGGGGCTTCTCCTGCGCATCACTCTCGGGTGCGCGCGTAGCGATGTCGTTGTCCGCCATGATGTTTGTAAATTGTGTAGTGTTGAGTCGATATACGCGAAAGCTGGTATGAGTGAGCTGCAGCTGGCTGTGAAGGGTCCAAGCCAATTACGTAGCCCCGCACAGCCCCAGAGCCACTTGGACGCGTGGATGCGGTTAGAGCGGGGCCACTGAGTCACGTGTCGAGACGCGTCGACGCGCTTTCTCATCTTCGACGTGTGCCCGCCACCGACACACGCCATCTCAACACCACGCAAACACACATACACAGTCACCATGGCAGAGGGAGCAATCACGCAAGGCGCTATTCAGTGAGTATTGGCATGATGAAGAATTTTGTGTCGCACTCTGACACTGCCTAGGAGCATCTTCCAGCCCAGCGGCTGCTTCGTAGAAAATCCCGTCCTGCAATGCGTGCAGATCAAGACCATGGAGCCCAAGGCGGGCGAGGCGAACCCAGTGCAGCGGTTCCGCGTTGTCTTGAGCGACATTCGCAACTTCATACAGACTATGATCGCGACGAGTAAGTCAAGCGCAGGCACTATATGGACGTAGCTAATCCCGTGCAGCCGCCAACGACATTGTTACTTCTGGTCAGCTTAAGAAGGGCTCAATAGTTCGGCTCCTCAAGTATAACCCTCAACGCGTCAAGGACAAGAAGTACGTATTTCTACACCTTAGAACAGTTCTGCGCTGACAATCGCTAGCATCCTGATCATCATGGAACTGGAGGTCCTGTCGCAGTACGGCGAACTCGACAAGATCGGACAGCCCGAAGCTCTCGACACCAAGGCCGCTGAGGCACAACCCGCAGCCATCTCAGGCAACAACTTCTACGGATCGAAGCCCGCGCCTGCCCCTGCCCCTCAACAACAGCAGCGATCCCTCCCTACTCACCAGAGCAATCCCGGTACTTCCTCGCATCCCAACCTATACCCTATCGAATCTCTCTCGCCATATGCACACAAGTGGACTATCCGCGCACGATGCACAGCCAAGAGCGATATGAAAGAATGGCACAACCAGAAGGGAACGGGCAAGCTGTTCAGCGTAAACCTGCTCGATGACACTGGCGAGATCCGAGCCACGGCTTTTACCGAAATCGCTGATAAGCTTTACCCCGTCTTCGAGGTGGGCACCGTATACTACATTTCAGCACCCTGCCGAGTCACGCTTGCTAAGAAGCAATTCTCCAACCTGCCCAACGACTACGAACTGCAATTCGAACGCGATACCGAAGTTGAGAAGGCGGAGGACCAGGAGAACAAACCACAGATCCGATTCAATTTCACCAAGATCGGTGACCTGAATACCATCGAGAAGGACGCAACGGTCGATACTATCGGTGTTTTGAAGGAGGTCGCAGAGGTTACTACGATAACATCGAAGAACACCAACAAGGACTACAGCAAGCGAGAGTTGACACTAGCCGATGACAGCCAGACGTCTGTCAGACTTACCATCTGGGGCAAAGCTGCCGAGAGCTTCGAAGCGCCGCTGGAATCAATCATTGCATTCAAGGGAGCCAAGGTCTCCGACTTTGGCGGACGAAGCCTGAGTTTGCTGAGCTCTGGAACTATGATGGTAGATCCAGACATTGATGAGGCTCACAAGCTGCAAGGATGGTTCAATGCTGCTGGACAGACTGCGACATTTTCTACACACCAGAACTTGACCTCGGCTTCAGGCGGTTCCAAGAACGAAGTCAAGCCCATCTCGGCAGTCATCGAGGAGGAAGCATACCTCCAAGACACGCCCACATGGCTAAGCCTCCGAGCATCTGTCTTGTATGTCAAGAATACTACCATTGCATACCCCGCGTGCTCGACGCAAGGTTGCAACAAGAAGGTCATTGAGGAGAACCCCGGTGCTTGGTGGTGCGAGAAGTGCCAGGCTACCTTCCCTGAACCTCAATACCGCTACGTGCTGAGCGTCAACGTTGGCGACCACACCGGCACGCTGTGGCTGAGCTGTTTCGACGAAGCTGGACAAGACATTGTTGGCATGTCGGCAAACGATGCCATGAAGATCAAGATGGATGACGATGAGAACAACACGCAGAACTTCATGAATGTCATGCAAGAGGCTACATGCAAGACGTTCAACTTCAGGGTGCGGGCCAAGATGGAGACATACCAGGACCAGCCAAAGTAAGTGTAGTGGACGTCGTAGTTTGATATCTGCTAATATTTTGCAGACCGCGTTACCAGGTTCAGAACTTGAACAAGCTCAACTACGCCGCGGAGGCCAACAAGCTGGCTCAGCTCATCAAGCAGTACAACATCGACGACGACACCTTGTTCGTTAACTAAAGTAAGGATGTCTCTTTCGAGCAATGTTGTTCGGTGGTATTTAGCAGTGTTGCATGAGAGCTTCGAATGATGGATCTTAGATAGATGCACACGACGTTTCGCGCGGACAAACGCACGAATGAAGCAAGTTGTACCATACCATTACGAGTTTATTGCCGCGGCCTATGTTGTCCGACCCCACCATAGCTCAAGCTCAATGCCTAGCTGCCCCTCAAACGTCATTACCAATCATTTCCGTAGCTACCGGAATGGCCTCGGAACAGACTACCACTTTCCTTATGAATTTCTGACATTCTGACATTCTGACAATCTCTCTGACAACTCTTCACTAACTGTAAAGCGCCACTTTTCCACCTTTCAATTTACTAATATTCATTCGCAACGGCCAACAAACCCCATTCGACTCTTACAATGAGCGACACGATGCGCGCAGTAGGTGCGTACCGACAGGATTGTATTTTGAAACGCTCAATCCGCTAACTTTGCGAAGACATCAAAGATGGCAAAGGCCCAATCGAGAACCTCCACATCACCGACATCCCCAAGCCGAAGCTCGGAAAGTCGCAAGCGCTCGTCAAGATCAAGGCTTTTGGTCTGAATCGCATGGACCTATTGCAACGCGAAGGAATGTATCCAGTACCCCCTGGTGCTTCAAAGATCCTTGGTGTAGAGTTCTCGGGTACAATCGCAGAGTTGAGCGCAGAGGGTGGAGGTAGGGAGGGCTTCAAGGTGGGCGACGAAGTCTTTGGCCTAGCATATGGAGGAGCGTATGCCGAGTACATTGCGGTGTCAACACACATGCTGGTACGGAAACCAAAGGAGTTGACTTGGGAGCAATGCGCGGGTATTCCTGAGGTAAGTCGATGCCTTCTCGTAGCGTCCAGCGCACCGTAAATTATCGTCTTGCTAACAAAGTCGTCGTAGACCTGGATCACAGCAACCCAAGCCATGTACCTCGTCGGTCAATTCGCTGCCGGCAAAACCATCCTTTGGCACGCAGCCGCCTCATCAGTCTCGATCGCCGGTATCCAACTCTCCCTCGCCGACAACGCTTCCGCCGTCTACGCAACCGCACGTCAAGACGCCAAATGCGACTTCGCTGTCAAGGAACTCGGTGCAACCGCTGCATTCAACACAACATCTCAGAACTGGGCGGAAGAGGTCATGAAGGCTACAGATGGCAAGGGCGTAGACATCATCGTCGACTTCATTGGTGCATCCTACTTCCAGTCGAACCTTGAAGCTATTGCCAAAGATGGTGTCATCGTCAATCTGGGCTTCATGGGTGGAACCAAGGTGCCAGAGGGTACGGATATCAGCGCGTTCATCAGGAAGAGGTGTACGTTTGTTGGAAGCAGTCTGCGCTCGAGAGACGAGGAATACCAGGGCAAGCTCAGGGATCAGCTTGTGGAGCATGCGTTGCCTAAGATGAAGGATGGCAGTTTCAAGCTGTTTGTGGAGAAGGTGCTGCCGTGGGAGAAGGTGCAGGATGCGCACAGACTGTTGGAGGAGAACAAGACTAAGGGCAAGGTTATCTGTACGATCGATTAGGAGGTAGTCTATGTAGATGGGTATTGTAGGGAATGAGATCAGCCAATAGCCTCAAGTCTAATCACAACACTCAACAAGATACAGGAGAACTTGAACCATGTCTCTAGTCCACGTCAACTCTTGCTCCACATGCTACAGCACTATCGCATTTGTTTGATGTTCCTTAGAAGATAAGATTACTGCATGTTTCGCATTGATGTTTTAATGTTCAAGTTCAACTCCCCCGCCCCAAAAAAGTGAACCTGACAACACCCACCATCAACACCACCACCCCAAGGCCGCTGCTGGAGCAAAAAGACGACGTTGGCCAGATTCGAACTGACGCTCCCGAAGGAACAAGATTTCTAGTCTTGCGCGATAACCACTCTAGAAATTTTTTCTTAGTTTGAGGTCTGACAGGATTGATGGCATGAAGGCTTACCCGCCACAACGCCTGAAAATCGACGCCTGTGTGATTCGAACACACGCTCCCGAAGGAACTGGCTGGCTTTCCGAAGACTAGCAGGCCAGCGCGTTAACCACTCCCTGAATTTTTTGATTAGTAAGCGTTGACGATAGATGGGAATGGTGAAGCTCACGCCAAAGCGCCCGATCAATTGGTTGATGTTTGGTGAAGAAAATCAGATTTGGTAATACCATGATATTGGCGTCAAAATCACAGCGTTACACAGCTAGAGCATAAGTTTCATGCAGACTTAGTAGAGGACAGCTTGATCGGTCGGCTCGTACTTGCATAAAGGGTGGGACATGTCTGTGGGACTGGAAGTTTAACGGGTAAAATGGCGGCAAGTGCGGGGACGTTGAGCCGGGCTTGGGCTTAGTAACTTCGAACATCTCGTCACCCCATCACCATTCACATTGCCCTGCGAAGAAGGCGGAACTCGAGTAGTTGCCAACAGAGGTATGGATGCTGAGTTATGCTGAGCCTTTTTTTCTTCATTTACCACAAAGTACAGGTACTTCTCCTAAGTGTCTCCCGAGCAGGTTGGAGAACTCCTGGGCAGAATGGATGGACGAGTGGGCGATCGACGACCCGGGACGACCAACACCAACAATGCTGTCCATGGACGGGCCTCCTTACATCTGCCGTCATTTCATCTCAGACGCCCGCTTCCTCCTCGATACCCTGCACCCGCTCGACGAAATCGTCCCTTATCATCTCGAGCTGACGAACAGCGTATTCGACGTTATCCGTGATAGACTTGAAGTGGCCACCGCTCGACGCTAGGACGCTATGGTGGATAGCTTTGAGATCTTTTACGAGTCCCGCCAGATTGACAACATGGATGCGTAGAGGCTCCAAAGCGATCTGCAAGCCTTGCTTCTTGGTGGATGCATACTTGATCATACTCATCGCATATCCCAGTCGCTCGGACGCCTCTACTGAACGTTCAACCATCTGCTTCCTTGCAAATTCCAGGAATTCGAATGTGTCCACAGGCGCGGTTTCGAAACCCGCGGCCATCGGTAACTTAGTCTGGCTGAGCTCAGTCGTCTTGGTGGTCGCCATGAGGTGTGATGCGAGATCCAGCAGGTACGCTTCCGGCTTCTTGGACTCCCAGAACTTTGAAGAGAGCACTTTCATGAACTCCGTCTTAGCCAGCGGAACCCTGTCTTGGCTTACCCCACCTCTCATAACGTAGTCGGTGAAGAGACGTTCAGCAGCCTGGTGGTGTTCCTCCTCGCTGGCTGCTTCCTCCTCTTTGGCGCCCTCTTCCGATGAAGCCGCGTTATCGTCGGAACGCTTCATCGTTAGGTCAACCAGGTCTGCTGTCCACGGACGGCTAGCTATCGCGGAATCGGCGTCGCGAAGGGCCAACAAGCTTGCGGGGACGACGGCGTTGGCGAACTTTGTCTCGCCGGAGTGGGTGGATCCTGTGTCTGGTACTGGAGCCGCTTCTGGCCAATCTTCAGCTTCGAAGTTGGGAGCGACGATGCGCCTTGTTGAAGCGACTCCGTGGCTGGCGTTGGCGATGTCTGTATCGGAATCCATCTCTTTTGGGCTTTCGCAAAGGGAAGTGCTGGGGTTGATACTGTCCGTGGACGGAGGCTTTGGAATCGCGATTTGAATGGATCCTCGGAGGTCTCCATCGGTGAGCTCGTATAGTGCGAAGTTGGCATTTGGCTGCACTGCGTCGGGGACTTTACGCCATGTCATCGCGTTACCGGCACCACCATCGGGGTTGTTCTGGTCGTTATCCATCTCTTTCCGTGGTGCAAGCCGCAAAGAATCCAGTGGTGTGAGGACAGGTAGTAAGTCAAGAGTGGAAAGAGCTTGAGAAGTTGCAGTAGCGTCAAATTCGCCTTTGCGTTCCTTCGTCTCTCACTCACCTACGAAACAGGCAGTCACCTCGGCCTTGGCGCTTTCAAATGGGTCTAGCGGAGCCCTCGACTAAAAGAACGCACACATTAACGAAATCAATCTGCGCATGGGGTGAGCGTGTGACAAACAGTTGCGAAGAAACAGGTCCTCGTTCAACAAGAGCTTACCGGGACGCCAAAGACCAACTACATACAATGAGCCAATACATCACTGACTTTCCGCCGGATCGATATCGCGATTCTATCAATCCATTCCCCTCTCTGCAGAGTTCAAGAGATACAAGCCCGGCCTTGGACATTCTACCGGAGCTAGTAATACTATAGAATATTCTCTGTATTCTTCCAATCCATCTATAACACTACATAGGTGCTTCGACATATCACAACGATCGCGAGAGATTATTTGATTACACGAACTGGAAGTGTGCTTTGTACAGCTTACATTTGTTATTTGTTGTTCCGAAAGGCCGAGGTAAGTAAAAGACATACCCCTCGTTATCTCAATCTACTATCACGCGTTTCTTGTACTGCAGAGTTATTCAGTATCACGTCTTTTTAGCATGTATTTAGGTAGTCTTTTCTTCGACATGCTACACTGGTTTGGCGGGTCTTGGCGAAAAGCCTGGTCACGTCATCCTTTCTTCGTAATCCCAGACATGCCTCGCTGTTTATTTGGGAGTTGGAACTAGCCCATGTCTAAGAAGTCAAAGGACATCGAACGTTTGATTCGCCAAGTTGCTTGTTGGTCATCATAGTTGCCCCAAGGCTCATATCTCCCTTATTCATCACGCTGCGCTTGTGCATTGTTGAGAGCGATTGCAGCCTGCTCATGACCATCCCCGGGGAAGAAGAGCTGGTTCGGTCTCACTGGTTCTCGGGCTCTATTTTTGACCGCCTCGGATATCCAGAGGACGTCTAGATGCAGTTGTGAACGCGAGTAAAACGTAATTCGCGCCCAAGGATGAGAACCAGTAGCTGGCGATAGTAATCGCTGGGTATCATCCAACGTCCGCGGACAGGCTAGGCGGGTTGTCCTGCCGAAGAACGGGCAGTTTATTTACGTATCCTGGCCCGCGTTTGTTCCGATGCCATGTTTGGCGCTCGTGGGGGTGGTTGGCTTGTGTCCACGCTGAATTAGGCCCTTTCACTGCATTGTCTGTTCACGCGCACGTCATCATCGATTTGAATTTTCGCCTATCGATAGGCATCAGTGGTCTGGGTACCGACTTTTGCACCCAGACGTGATTGCATCATTCGTCGGTCACCGCGACTGTAGAGTATACTAGCACACTGCACTGCTTCCACCACCCCACCACGACTGGGCCATCACCTCTTCCCTCATCATCACTGTCGAAACGGCCATACCGATAAATTTCCGCGACCAACTAAGTTCCTGCACCTCCCCTACGCACGGCCTACCTAGGTACTCAACGCCGCGATGCGTCCCAAGTCTAAGCGCAATTCGATGACTGGGGTATACGCGATCAATCAGGCCGGTCAGAAGGAAGTAAACGTCACAATCGAAGCTTGGAGTACCATCACCGGACTAACGGACGAGCGCCTCAAACACTGGGTCACAGAGGTAGTGCTGCCAACACTGCCGGTATTTCTCGACTGGTCGAGCGCCATCAAGTCTAAGCACAAGGGCTCCACGGGGTATCCAAGAGAAGATGTCATCAAGGCTATGAGCGCCGATCTCGGTCACGTCAAACAACCGGCCGAAGTATTTATCAACAGCACTCAGGTGTCACCTACGGCAGTATGGGCACACACGTGTCTTATTGTCCGTGGACATCTGGAGAAGGTGGAAGCTTGCGGCGCATATTTCGAGACCTCTCTCCAATACAAGGAAGGCGCGTTTGACTTCGTCAAGTTCCTGATGAAGAACTTGAGTGAGGCGCGTTGGTTAAAGATGGAAAATATCGCAACAGCGGAAGCGGCGAGAATTGCATTTGTACAAAGTAAGTGAAATGGTTGCAAAGACTGTTACTCATACTAACATCTTATCCAGAGACAAATTGGACTGCAGTCGCGTATCTCGATGGCAAATTCCAGCCAACAACCTCGTCAAGCAATCCAGCGCAACCCTCCAAGCCTAGCGTACTCAAGCCGGCCGAACGCGGCGGTCCTTCCAACAGCAACTCCCTTCGCCCTGCCGCTACATCCTCATCTTCTACCAAGGGACAAGAGGCTAGCCAGTCTGATGGAGCGGGCAACGGTGGACAAACCGCTGTAGACGCGGAATCTTCGAACAATCCAGCAAATGGAGTCACACTGCAGGCAAATTGGATCACCAGCGCGATGTCAACACAAGCTACAAAGACGCGAGATGCGAAGTGTACTCTTGCTGAATTCAAAGTATGGCTTGCTAAAACACTCAACATGGTAGCCATAAACGAGAAGCTCGCAAGTATCGTGATCTATGTGGAGGACCTCGAAGAGGACACTCCGCCTATCCAGACCGAGGCCATGTGGCAGTCAGCCCTAAGCCAAGCTCACTCTACGCCATCCCAGGGAAACCTAATCATCGTCAACTGCTACTCCGAGTTGATACCAGGGGCCCGGAGTGATTGGATGGATACCCCCCCTTACCGAGATCTCCGGTACCAGGGCCACGAGCGGCCAGGCTCGTCCTCGGACAATCTATCAAAGCCAAATGCATTCCTCTTGTCGCAACAGCGCTCAGCACAGCAGGCCTCGGAGCTTATCCAATCCGTACTAGGCAACAGCATGGATGGCATACTTGTCAACCGCGCCCCTGGCACTAACGCAAGCGCCGCTGACCTCAACTTCGAAGCCACGAACCCTTTTGGCGATGAGGCTGACGCCTTCGCAGGTGTCAAGCTTGAATCATACGATGTCGTCCAGGGCTGGCTAACCGTTTTGAAGCCAGAGTACAATGATGTCACACGTGCGAAGGCATATCTGAAAGCAGCGCTCGGAGACGATGCAGAGATCATCGACCGACTACCACTACGACGAAGCGAGGATCCACTTCGCCCTGGGCAGCAGCGTGAGGGAGATGCGCACAAACCGCACCAGATTTGCTTTCTCTATTGGTCGATCACGATGGAGAAAGTCTACGGAGTCCTGTTTTGTTGTGATGGCTGTGGGACAGGCAAGTCCCATGAGTTCATCAGCCATCTGCACGCAGCTACCCTATACTGGACCCAGCGAGACCAGCCTCCTACCAAGCCGACCCTAGTGGTCTGTCCACGGACGCTGCTAGAGAAAACCTACCAGGATCTCAGAGACCAGATGGGAACGGGATGGGATGTGTACAAGTACGGCGAAGAAGCTGGTGCTCGTAAGGAGCGACTTCTCTTTGACAAAAGGCACAGCGTATACACGGGTGCTCGTGCGGGACACACGGTTGTAGTGGCAAGCTACAGCCAGCTGCAAAACCTAAAGGATACCGAGAGTGCGCGCAAGCAGCGGCATAAGCTTTTCCTCCGCATCATTCTTGATGAGGCTCAATGTATCCGTAGATGCGATCAGACTCGACAGGGTAAGATCCTGATGTCGTTTGACGCCTACTTCAAGGCTGTATTCACAGGTTCGCCTGTTGTCGACACTATCCTGGACTTCGACGGGTACTTGGCTTTCCTAGAGTTCGCCGGATGGGGATGGGTCGCCGATCTAAACTCAACCCACAGCACCGACGAGGTTCGAAAGTCGCGGTATGACAAGTTCAAGGAAGGCCTGGCTACCGGTGTCAACAGCCGCTCTGAGCCCCTCGAAGATTGGCAGAGCGACTGCAGCTCAGTGAACGAGCTAGATGCTCAATGGATCAAAGAGTCAATCGAAGAAGGGTGGCAGTGCTCCCACTGGCCTGCACTCGTAAAATACAACGGTGATCGACCGCCAAGCCTTGATCGCAAAGACCGCACGAAGATCGACGGTCGGATTATCGTGAAGGACGTGCCGGCTCCTTTCGAGGAAAATCCATACGACCTCTACCATCCTAACAACCTCAACAGCATCAAGTGCTGTTCAACGGTCGCATTTCGACACTACATTGCTAGGCACCTTCTCAAGTCAAAGATGGAAGACGTCGATAGGAGAATCGTTACTGAGAGGGTCAAGAAGATCCTTGAGATGTTGGTTCTCTCAAGAAACCTCTTCAGCACGGTCATCAACGAAAAGGGTGATGCAGTCAGCATCGCCGGCGAGCTCCCTCCCGCCACCATTCACACACAAGATCTCCGCTTGTCCGCGGACGAGCTTCGTGCATACAAAGAGCGAGAGGACAGGTGCCAACGTGAGTTTGCTGAGCACTTTGAGGCTGCAGCATTGGAAAAGAGGAGGAAGGGCAAGGGAACGAAGTCGGATCTAGCCAAGATCGGCTCCAAGTTTGCCAAGCTCTCGGTGCTCTGCACCCACATCGGACTCTCGGGGCTCGAGAGCATGTCGACAGGGTCTATTCGCGCCATGCGAAAGGAGGGTCTTCCTCTTCTCACCGCAAGGATGAAGGCAGCTGGAGCGTTGAGCCCAGAGGACATGGATCGTCCACTAGATAGCGATGAGGAGGTCCTCCGACAATTTCTCTGGGGTTCACCCAAGATGCGGTATATGCTGTGGGAGATCCAGCGAGTGATCCTGGGTAAAGCCAAGCCCACCAGTCACAGGAAGATTCTGGCCACATTCCAATTCCCCCGCTCGGCTGAGATGTTCTTGAAGCTCGTTGAGTTCGTGGGAGTCCGCGCGATTCTCCTAGACACTAACATGTCCCCCGACGAGCGGCACAAGAGTATACGAGCTTTCGATGAGGAGGATATGCCACAGATTCTCATCACGACATATGCCTTGAACATTGCCGGCCACGACACACAGCATCGTTGTGCTACGGTCGCGCATGTTGAGCCAGCGTACAATTGGGCTACAGAGCATCAGGCGGCCTCAAGAGTCTATCGCATCGGACAAGAAGAAGCCGTGGAGATTGTCCGTCTTTTCTGTGAGGAAACTTACCAGGAGGTCCATGAGTCCGCTATGATCGACAAGGCTCGCAACATGTTTGCGGCCTTTGAGGACCTTGAGTCTGCTAGCAATGAGATTGAGGGCCGTGACAAGATGACTAGCGAGGAAATTGCACGGAGCGCGTTCGGAATTTTCCGCAAGCGTGTACCAGACCGCAATGCCCATGATGTTCAGTCGTCGAAGGCTGAAGCGGTCGGCAAGGGAAAAGGAAAGGCCCCGGTGACATAGATATAACGACGGGTCCAGGTTACTGTCCGTGGACAGCAGAGTAGCTAGGATTCAGGTATACCTCTCGTTGGAAGAAGAGTTAGCACAATACAGTAATGCTTACTATAGTGTAATGTCGAAATCAATATGGAATACGTTATGATATCGTGACTTTCTCTATAGACACACTACACAGGACACTGTCCGCGGACAGATACGGCTGCTATTCGCTAAGACCGCAACGAGCATTGATACATAGTAGCTCTAAATTAAGAAAACAAGAAAATAAACGCTTTAAACATAAGAAGGAAGTGGTATAATAGGCTACATATGTCTAGTCCTTCGAAGGTGTAATCGCATAAATGTTCATGAAAAAGCAGTATTAACTTCGTATGTGTACATGAAAACAATTACAGTGTACTTTAAAAGGTAAAGCTTTTGGTACGCGTAGAAATTGAAACAGAAATGTAGTAGGAAGATGAGAGATGTCGCGCGGATATAACTAAGTGATGTCGTCATGTCGTCATGTCGTGATATAATAGTATCGTAAGCGTATAGAAAAGAGTTTGTTTCGCGAAAATAGTAAGGCCTTGGACATTCGATGTCGTCGTGCGAGCTGATTCTCATTCGAAGGAGTTGGTTAGGTCGCTAGTTACCGCGAGAGCCGGTTGTGATTGGGCCTCGTTTTGCCTTCTTGGGCACACGTTTGTGATCGCCGTTACGCCCGATCAGACGACCATTGTGTGCAGGAGACCCGTCTTTCCAATCTTGACAGGCCTTCCAGGCCCCCAAAAGGTTCTTGACGGCGTCGCCTACCGCCTTGTCCGTGGACAGCGCCTGGACTAACTCTTGAGACTCGAAGAAGCCATAGTACAAACCCGAAGGGTACTGAGGGAAGTATGCTGCATCCATACCATACGCTAGGGTGTTTTCGCGAATAATGAGTGTAAATGGCGGTGAGCGTTGTAGCCACGGTAGGATTAGGGTTGCCTTGCATGCGAACCCATCTAGGCCGATGGAAAGTATAACAGGCTTGGTTCCACGAGCGGTGGAATGCTCCAGAAAACTGTCGATATTATGCGTAAATTTATGTGCGCGAGCATAATAGGCCCTTCGGGTTGGGTCGGTGGTCGTGTGCGCCTGAGAGAACTGTCCTGTAGGAGCGACTGATGTATGGACGTAGGACATCGCAACGAGTGTAGCATCGATGCCCTCCTTGCTATCGTAGTCGATCGCGAACTCGTCAAAAAGATTTTTGGCCCATATCTTTATGCCATCGGCCAGGTGCTCCTCTCCGGCCTTCCAGGCTTTAGGTGGTTCACTCGAGGCTCTTACTACTGCAAGCACGCATGGTGCTTCGCTGGTCATAGACTTTTGATAATTGACCCGGAAAACGCCGTCAAATCGCGCTGTGAGTTCTCCATCTTCGCCCTTGCATCCGGACTCGTGTGAAGCTAGGAGGTACAGGTCGCAATAGCGGTTCTCGCATTTACTGCACCTATAAAGCCCCCTCGAATCGTGTACATGCATGCCAGCATGAGTACCGTACGCTCGGATGTCCATGGACAGCTCCGTGCACTCTGGCCAAGGGCAATCTTTGACGGTGACGGTGTCGTCGTCGCACGACTTCGAATGATATAACGAAGCCCCATAACTGCTGAAGACTGATCCGCATCCCTTGCGACATGGAATCCTATTAGTGCCATCCTGCAACACCGGGTCATCTTCAAACTCGACGATTATCCTGCCAGGGTGCTTGGAACGACAATGGTTCGCAAGTGCCTTCAAGTCCTTAAACGTGCCCGACTTGCACGACTCGCCTTGCGCCTTGAACGGGCACCTGGACGTGTTTGGTGCAATTTGCGGGAATGGGATCGAGCTGTCCATGGACGAGGTTGACGGCGACATCCTTACTGCCGGTGGCATTGAGCTGTCCGCGGACAGGACTGGCGACGACATGCCTACCGCTTGTGGTTCTCGAGACGTAGTAGTATCCATTTCGGTGCCACGAGTTGGCGTAGTAGATCTTCGGTCGGCTGACTGCGCGATTGTAGTAGCCTTCACTTCGGTTGTGATTGGTGAGCTACTTGACGTCGTAGCTTGTGTTGGCTTGAAAAAGCTTCGAATGTCGCAGCTGCTGCCCGCCATCGAGGCTGATCTTTTCGGTGGCATCTCGAATCACTTGCGAGGTGTCACGGTGCGAGCGATGGAGAGTCAAGGCTCGTTCAGGACGGGGTGAAAGAGACTTATCGGCCGACGCGTCGTGACTTTGGCCAGACGGCGCGTCACGCACGCGAACTGCGCTTCACCGCCCACGTGGAAACACATCGAACTGCGCGGACCCACTAGTTCACTACTGTAGAGCCAAACCTCCACGTCTTGAAGAGACGTGCGAAACAGCGAGGACCACCTATTGACCTACCTGCGCTTTCGCACTGTTTACGATGGTACACCTCACTGCACGCAGACGAACTGATAAAAGAGACATGGCATTAGCCGTCCTTTCATGCACGCCACAAAAGGACCCACCTTGGGTACTAGTATGCCCTAATGCTCTTATAAGAGAGCCCTCATAGGGGGAACGCAACACACATGCCAGCCGCCCTCCAAGCTTTTGGCTACAACGGCCAGGGTGAGAGAAGATACCAGGTAAAGGTGGCTTCGATATAACCGGTATGCTTCAATAAGCGAAGCTTCGACTGCAATACTTACTGACGACCTGGCTTCGTGCCTCTTCCACTTAACTATACCAACAACGATGGACCTTGAACAAGATATCGATAATCTCGGCAAGACCGCTGCAACAATGAAAATTGGAGAAACCGAAGCAGAGAAATGGAAGAGAGCGGCATCGAAACCAGACACAAGATTCCTCCATTACACCAGCAAGCACACAGACCGAAATTTTCCACCAAGCTTCTACCAATCAGGCGATTATAACACCAGACCAGAGAACCGTCCGCGGACAGCCGATGCGATGAGGGCGAAGAGAAAGCGTACCGACAATGATGGGAAGTCTGCGTTGAAGCGAACGAAAGAACAAAATACGACCACGGACGATGTGAAAGTTAATGCTGTCAAGTTGCTTTATACGACCTACATTATGAAAGGAGGAGTAGACCGAGCAGGGGTGGTTCTAGATGAGACAGAGTTCACAGAAAAACTTCCTGCGCAATTCTGGCAGTCTGAGACGCCAGGAGTGTGGACATTGGAGGATGTCACACCATACATCGCGGCTACCGAACCACCACACACTCCCAATCAGACGGTCGAACAGGCTCCCATAGAGCTCGAGAAGCCTCCAGAGAAAACAGAAGAATTCTTGAAATGGGCTAAGAAAGAAATCACAGAGTATTCTAAGCCCGATTCTCTCAGGTTCAGGTTGGCCCTGAGCTGGATGAAGAGCCCAGACTTCCGCAAGAAGGGCTTCCGCACGGCTCTGGAGGTGCTACAAGCACATCTCGGAAGGGTGGCGACAGCTGCAAGCAACGCAGAGGCCGTGAATATCCATATCCAAGAGTCGCGCGAAAGCCTGGGGTCCTTGATGAAATCGTCTGAGCAATTAGCGCGTCAGCTTGGACAGAGACGGGACGAGCTCACCGAGAGGGTGAAGGCTTTCGGGAAAGAGGTGGAAGCGGTGGGATGATGCGTAATGATGATCAAAGTAGCGATGCTCGTCCGTGGACAGTGCCATTGGTGTGGCCCTCAAGGGGTATCTTTCAGCCAGGTGGGGATTTGGTTATCAGAAGGGTTGGCCTGGTTCGCGATCAATTCAGCTGCGATACGTAGACGCATTCGTGCGCCCACTATATACATGAGCTTTTCTCGTTCTTCTTCTTCTATCGGCAACTTCGGCAGACGGTCGTGGCCTTGCAGTACCCGTAAAAGAAGCATGCAGAGTATACCACAATCATTCGACTCTTTAGCCTGAACGCAGCCATAGCTGTTCCAGTCTGCGTCCTCAATTCGCCATCCACTGCTGTCTCTTACACAATGCTTCTTCCAGTAAGAGTATATTGCCTCGGTCGCACTCGCCGTGAATGATTTGTTGAGACTTGGGTAAGGGTCATACGCAACGATAGACGTTCGAGCAACGTGTATATGCACTAAGCTCCAGTGAGGCAGAAATCCATGGTGTATTATCCAGAAGATATGGTCAGCGGATGTGCCACTTGAGACATTATCAAGTGCGCGAAGCTTAGGTGTTGTCCTATCCGTATTTGCTCGGAGGAGCGTTGTAAGAGCGTGTGTATCCATGTAAATCGCGGTCGCATTCGCCTTTGGACCAAGTGCTTGGAGAATTCGTGTATATTCCATAATGATGTTGTCGGTCACCATATTGCCACTCTGCAGTTGCTGGGCCGCGTCTCGTAACAACTGGCGACGGGGATGCTCGGTCGGAACAGCAAAAGGCTGTTGGGGGCCGAGAAATCGTCCGACTGCTAAGGTCCATTCCTGCGAAAGCGGCTGTATGTATGCGTCGGTAGCACGCGACAGGTCCATTTTCGTAATACACTGTGCGTGCCTTCTGCGGGATTAGTTCAGTAGGGCTGTCCGTGGACAGCTTTGGTGGCACGGACCACGTCGCGTTCCGGTGGGCTCCACCTCGAATCAGCGCCACTCTGTGTCAACACGTTGTGGCTCAGCATTCGCTGGAAGGAGCTGACGAACAAACGAAACTACGACATGAACACCGTGCATTCTTTGTCACATCAGTCACAATCATTTCAAGTTTGAGTGTCAACCCCATGTTTCAATATTAATCTCGATCTTACAGGGATCTACATATCCATTAGCTTCTCGCATTTCGTCGAGATGACATCTTTAGCTGAAAGAAGAAGACTACACATCGTCATAAGACACTCACATGCCGACGATTCGTCTACCCGGCCTCATGCGGCGCGAACCCATCGCACTTTCCACTCACCTAGCCAACCCCTTCGGCCCCGCCCACTCGCCCTTGACATGATACTTCCCATAAACCCACGGAAAGAAGTCCTTCTTCAGCCAGTAAAACGCCTTCCGCGGCACTCCCTGATCAATTCCCAATAGCCCATTGAACGTCTCCTTCGGCACACCCCCATACATAAACTCCGCAAGCAACACCTCCTTCCTCCCCGTCAGCAACGGACAAGACGTATACCCATCGTAACTAGCCGTTAGCTCCTTGCCCTCCGTCGCTGAGAGTACGTTAGACACCAACACCGGTGCTTCGGCCGTGATGGCAGCCACGGTTTTAGATGTCGGTAAAGAGGATGCGTCGCCTATGGACCAGATGTTAGGGTAAGAAGTGTGCTGCGTTGTAGAATCCGAGACGGAAACATAGCCTGCTTCGTTTGCGAGAGGGCTAGATTTGATGAACCCCCAAGGCACGTTCTTGGGCGCGACGTGCAGGAAGTCGAAGTGTTTCTTCACTGGGGTGGGGGAGTTGGGGGATTTGAAGGTTGCGGTGTTGCCATTGATGGAAGTAAGGTCGTGTTGGAAGAGACCATCTACGCCGCGTTCTACGCGGAGCTTTTCGAGCGTTGCTGCGCTGGTGCGGTGTTAGCACATTTCTGCCTCGTTTGCATGCTGGCAGGTAGAGGAGACGACTTACTATTTCGGCACACCGAACATCGTCGGCAACCCCGTCGCAAAAGCGACGTTGATATCCTTCGGATACAGCCCAGCATCCTTCCAGTAATCCAACGCAAGCCACATGATCTTCTGCGGCGCGCCCGCACACTTGACCACACCAGCTGGCTGTGTGAACACCGCCTCACCCTTTTTGAACTTCTTCACATTCTCATACGCCTTATCGCAATACGCATAGTCGTAGATCGTGCTCACCATAGCATCTTTCTCCTCCAACGCCTCCTTCAACCCACTCACACTACCATAGTCAAGCGTGATACCGGGCACAACAACCAGCTGTTCATACCCAATCTTCTCGCCGTTACTGGTCAGGACGTAATTTTCCTCTGGTGCAAAGCTTCCTACAGCGCTGTTGTAGAATTTGAAGCGTGGATCCATGAGCTCTTTCAAGGGGCGGCGCAGATCTTCTTTCTTTTTTAGACCGCCGCCTACGAGCGTCCAGCCCGGTTGGTAGTGGTGCCATTGCGCGGGGTCTATGATGGCGATGTCGTCTTGGGAAAAGTTTCCTTTGCGCAGGAGTTGGTGAGAGAGGGATATGCCGGCTGAGCCGCCGCCGATTACGACGATTTTGTGGTTGCGGGTCGTTGTTTGTACTGGTGATACGGTTGCTAGATTGCGGATGGTGTGTTGGAAGGCTGGTCGCGTGATCTTGGTCGCGGTTTGCGATGCACGTTTGAGGGTTAGTGCGGACATGGTGGCTGGGTTTGGCGACTGTCCGCGAAGGCTAGGAAGGGAAAAGGAAAAGTGGAATGTAAAGACAGACAGGAAGGCTTACACAAAGAGGTATGCGGTGCCTCCGGTCTTCGACTAAACATTTCATGCCATGTGGGTCAGCGGCTAGCAATTCAGGAACGACCAATGGATGAGGTGGAGATGGGTACTAGCGTGATCACGACATCGTCGGAAGAGTAAGCCAGCAGTCACAACCAAACATCACAATCACGACGAGACACAAAGTGTAACTGTACACAACATAACATTAACTCGTTTTAATCATGAAAACTATATAACAGACATCCTAACCCAGCGACTTTTTACAAGCGCGACAGTCCAGCAATCTCCCTCGGGGCGTGGTAGTTGGGGACCTTCATGTCGAGGGCGCTGCCGCTGTAGCCCAAGTCCTCACCCGTAAGCACGGCGCACTTCTCGCCAATGAGGAGCGCAGTCGAGTACGTGTTGCAACCGACGTTGTCGGGGCAGATGGACAAGTCGGCGACCTTGAGGCCCTTGACACCGTGGACGTTGAGGCGCTCGTCGAGCACACCGTGCTTGACGATGGAGTTGCCGTTCCTGGGTGCCATGGAGCAGGTACCGAGCGAGTGCCAGGTGGTCTCAACGTGGCCTGTAGTGTGTTAGTGAGATGTCCGACGACTCATGAGTAGGGGAATACATACGCTTGGTCCAGTCCTCAATGTGCTTGATGTCCTCGGTGGAGTACTGCAAGTCCTCCTGAATGTCCTGGCAGCTCGAGCTCAAGAAGTTGGGCTTGGCTGCACGACCCTTCTCGATGGGCATAGTCCAAGATCCGTGCTGGATACCGGCCGTGATGTTACCAGGGAGCGCGTAGGCGTTGGTGGTTTGAAGATCCATATCCTTGGCACGGGCTGGGCTGTCGTAGCCGTAGAAGGGGTGCATGGCCTGCACCTCACCAGCGTAGGCGTCCATACGGCGGGCAGTCTCACGGGACTTGATGTAACCCCAGACCATAGGAGCCATGTCGCGCTTGTCGTTCATGAAGCCAGCGTCGAAGTCGGGGGCCTCGTACGGGTTTGGCGACACAATGTGCGTGGAACCACGAGAGAAGGGATACTCGAGGAAGTGGAACATGGTGAAGAACTTGCCCGGTGGCATGACCATGTGGTCACCGAACCAACCAGCAATAACGGAGTAATGCATGACGGGCTTGTCGGGCTTGTCCTTGAAGTACGAGTCCCAGCCCGAGCGGAACTCCTTGCATGGCCAGCTGTCCATCATGTTGAGTTCTTCCTCAGTCGGTCGGATCTTGACACCAGCCTCGATACCATTGGTGGCGAGTGGGCCAGTGCCGTTGATGTTCCATTGCTGGAAGACCGCCTCCTGGACCTTGGGGTCGCCACGGACGAAGTCGTCGAAAGATTCGACATGAGGCTTAGCGCGGTAGGTGGCGAAGGTCAAGTAATGATCCTGGAAGTTGAGACCAACACCAGGAAGATCGACGAGAGGCTTGACGCCAGCCTTGCGGAGCTTCTCTGGGTCACCGATACCAGAGCGCTGAAGGATGAGAGGAGAGCTCAGAGTACCACCGGAGACGATGATCTGCTTGCGAGCCTTGATGACCCTCGACATCTGCTGTTCGGGGTGGAGAGGCTTGGTCGGAACAACCTTGACGCCAACGGCGCGGTCTCCCTCAAGAATGACCTTCTCAACTTTGTTACTGGTGAGGAGGTGCAGGTTCTGGTGAACAGCGCGGGTGCTGTGGATGTAGCCGTGAGCAGAGTCAGATCGTCGTCCGGTATCGCGGTTGATCCACTTGAGCCAGTGCTCGGCACCGTGGCCAGTGGTCAGGTCCTGGAGATCGTCGGTGGTCGGGATGCCCTGAGATTCGGTGGCACGGAGGAAGTCCTCCTTGATCGGGTATGTGTAGTTACCGAACGAGACCTTGATGGGTCCCTCGAAACCGTGGATGTCGCGGTTGTTGCAGGAACGTTGGTAGGTCTCGTGCTTCTTCATCAAGGGAATGAGCTCCTTGGTGGTCCAACCCTTGGCCTGGAAATCATCGTAGTCGGAAGCGGAGGCACGAGTGTACATCTGATGGGAAGTCAATAACTGCTAATGATAATGTGGATGGGAAGTTCTTACCATGAAGTTGATGGAAGATCCACCTCCGAGGATGTTGGCGACGGGCACAACAGCTCGGCGGCCATCAAGCCACTCCGAGGGACGAGAGTAGTAGAAAGTGGCAGTCTTGCTGTCCAACTTCATGTTCCTCGGGTAGATACCCGGGCGGAAGACCCATGGGTTGTTCAGGTTGTT